AACTCAATCGAATGATTGACCTTCAGATGTTGGAAGCCCTCGTTGTTCAAACAATTATATGCCTGTTTAAGATAGAAAAAAACACAGTTGTAGTTAAGTGACACTAAAATCTTATTAAAATATAGTCATACTTTCCAACAATCCGACATTATCGTAGTTCCCGGTTTAATCCATATCTTGATAATTTCAAGCAACGTTTCTTTGTTTCTTTTTTCGACTGGAACCATGAAACAACGACCTGTCGATCAAAACAGCCAGTATCATTTCTTGGCGGATAGAACCCATATGCGAAGCATAGCACGAAAACTACATAAATCGATAGAGGAGAGAGCATGAGCTACATTTTGGTAAAAGCATAATTTTGAAAAGCTTTTTTCTTTAAGGTGAAAAAGTGACTCTAAGTCAAAATTGTCATACTATTCAGTTTGACTGGTCAACCTCAGGAATGAGTAGGTGAAAAAGCGTCGAAACGTGTTAATATCATGTTAATTTTTCGATTAAAAGATGGGTCAAATCCTTTCATTTAACTTTCAGACTATATTTATCTTACTTGGTTTTTCCCCTGTTTTGAATAGCTTAAGCAGTCTTTTTTCATCCATTCATTCCTGAGTTTGCGCAGCCAAACTGAATAGTATGGCAATTTTGACTTAGAGTCACTTTTTCACCTTAAAGAAAAAAGCTTTTCAAAATTATGCTTTTACCAAAATGTAGCTCATGCTCTCCTCTATCGATTTATGTAGTTTTCGTATTTTGTCGGTACTTATACAACGTAAAATAAGATTTTAACGACTGTATGGAAAATGTTTGCTGACCTGAAAATGTTCACTTTTCAGTCTAATGAGCAACAATGAATATTTCTAACTTTTTTTATCTGCAAATATATTAGAGAAAGCGGACAATTTCTTCCATAACTGTATGTTTTTCTATTTAGGTAGATCATCGTCAACCAGCAATTCGCTCAAAAGAAAAGGAAGTGTTCAATCCAGACTTTGTGAGCAAGTTATGGAACGGGATGGAGGATGTATCATAACTGGCTCAAAGAATCATCTTACGTGTGCCCACCTATTGCCACGTGACTTATTTATTAAAACTGGGGTATTGGACATAGATACGCCTGAAAATGCCTTCATGGTCGACAATGGCCTTGAAAAGAAATTTGATGATAATTGTTGGACATTTAATGAAGATGGGGTGATTGAAATTCTTTGTAAACATTTTGTTGGTGTCGATGATTTGTTAAAAAAGGTTGATCGAGTGAGTGATTTTTTTTGTGAGTGATTGTACTTTCGATCTACTTCTTCATCTTTTTGCTTCAGATTGATCTAAATGCTTCCTTTCGTGATTCTTAGACGTTTTTGATCGGCAGCATCACTTTGCATTAAATACATTGCAAAACAATCGCAATCAATAATTACCCATTCAAAATAAATTTGAGGTGGAAACATTCTAAATGCACTTAGATTACACTAGTGATTTGATTACATGCAGAGGTCTGCATT